GGTAACTCTTAATCGATGTAGATGTTTATCGAGATCTTTACGTCATTCAATTCGCCATTTCTTCTATCAAATCCATAAAATGCCCGATCTCAATTCTTTCTCATTAACCTAGTACAGCTCTCCGAATTGTTTATATCGTGGTTACCGTGTTTATACACGTACGAAGACCCAAAATCCAGCCCACATAAAAAGAAATTAATTAAAAAAAGGTTTACTATAAAAGTTGTACCAAATCATATTCTTAACAATATTCCTGTTTTACACTTTTCCTCTCAAATGGATATATTGTGGTTTTACATCTTGTTTTTGGTGGAGCACGGGATTGGGAATGTTTTCGAAAAATAATTTTAGTATAAAAGTCGTAGCAAATTTGCATAAAATGAAACTTAAATGCATAAATCTTGAGAAAAAGTCGAATAGGTGAAAGTTAGATGAAATCGTGGTTTTTCATATTGTCGTTGATAGAACACGGGATTTGAAACGTTTTTGAAAAAAAGTTTTAGTATTAAAGTCGTAGCAAACTTTATTCCTAACAATTCTTGTTCTTTTACACTTTTGCTCTCAGATGAATAAATATCGAAAAAAAGCCGAATAGGTGAAAATTAGATGATATCGTTGTTTTACATTTTGTTGTTGATAGACCACGGGATTCGGAATGTTTTAGAATAAATAAAAGTTATTATAGCCTATTTTATTCTCAACGGTATTGGTTTTTTTACACTTTTGCTTTCAGATGAATAAACACCGAGAAAAATTCGAAAAGGTGATAATTAAATGAAATCGTGCTTTTATATTTTGTTGTTAGTAGAGTACTGGATTTGGAATGTATTAAAAAAAAAGTTTGCTTAAAAATTGTAGCAAACTTTGGTATTAACGATATTGCATTTTCCACTTTTGCCTTAGATTCTAGAAACTTAATTCTTAACGATATTGAATTTTACATTTTTATTCTTACAATCAAATACATAAACATCGTGCTCATTTTTTGTAATAATGGACTAGAGTCAGTACATTCACTGAGTTCTTTAAACAACTGAATGTCAATTAGCGAATTTTGACTAAAATGACTAAAATTGAGCAATTAATAATGAAGATAATGTGTTTGATTTGTTACCTTTTTGTGTTTTAATCAAAATCTTTAATTATTTTGTTCAAACTCCGGGCAGGCCAAATATTTGAAATGTGTTTGGGAGAAAATAAACTCCGGGCAAGCCAGATATTTATTTTGGAATGGATTAAACTCCGGGCAGGCCAGACACTTAATCCAGGAAGGAAATGAGTATTACGAAGATGGGGTTTATATACAAATCTTAATTCTAACTTAACAATTAATATAGTGTTTAAAAGTAATTAATTTATGTCACATAATTGCGCGCGGTATGCGTTCCGGATTGATCATTTGCAGAGGAATCCCTTCTTCAATGTTGGACGTCTCTTTTGGTTTTGGTTTTCTTTAACTTCACCTTACACCATTGATACAGTCTCCATATGGTGACAACTATAATGACGATTGATAGAGTTGTAAGGGTGCAGATCAACACTCCTCATCTACTAATTCTTCTGTGGCCATAAGCTGAGAAACTTCATCTCCAGTATGTTACAGCAACTTTCTCTAGTTTCGGTGTTATGAAAATCCAGGTATTCTTCATGTATAATTCTTTCCAAATAAGCGAATTAATATAGAATTCTTGAATCATGGCTTATCTTGACGTTTGTAAATCTCATTGATGACTCAACTGGGATTATTTTCGATGTTTTTTACTAATGTAGTAGCGCATAAGTATTCAGTAACTTCTACCACTATGCACTCATTAAATTCTTCGTGGCTAAGTTGAAAATATAACTGATTGTTGTAATCAATAGCGAAGATTTCGTTTGGAACTTCTAGTATTCAGTATGTTGCATTAGTGATCTTGAGCGGTATAGTATTGACTTTAATGATTTCGAAGTCAATTACTTCTGCCATGGGAAAATAAGTAAAGATAATAATAAAGTCCTCATCTTGTTGCATTCTAAGTTTTATGATAAGAACTTGAAGGATTTGAATATTCGACGGAAGTTTTGAAGTTGCTGCGGCAATTATTCTGTGTATGTAAGCTGATGGCATAATGTCATACAGATCTCCTCTGCCTAGGTGCAGATACATCACCTTGGTGCGAAATTGACTTATTTCCGAAATGATGTTTACAGCTATGTGATTTGAGTTCAATAGATAGATGTTCAATTGATTCACATCGACTTTGGTGAACCAACGGTTCATTTCGTTTAACGCAGAAAGTTCTTGGTTTAGTTTTGCGGGAAACTTCTCTAGTTGGGCATAAACTTGCTTCGCTGGCGTTGAAAGACGAAATTGCAAACATCATGAATTTAGTTTGATGATTTGATGCTTTTATCAGAGTTTATTGATTCTTTTCTAACACCTCGATATGTTGGTATACTTCGTCGTTGACGCCGAAAATACTGGTTAATAATCATTCCAACAACTCTCTTCTGTCTTTTTTTGCTCATTCTTAAGTTATCACATAAGTATTTGAAATCTCTAATCACGCTTCCGACTGTTTCCATATCTTCGTCTATTCTTGTTTTGTTGACCTTGGACTTCTTCCTGTTTTTCTTTGGCCATTGGTAATGGTACTAAGCTGTGTTTCGCTCTTTTCAGGATTCTTCCGCCAGAATTTTTTAACGTGACCACTCTAACATTGCCATCATCTGATGGATGGATTCTGTTATTCGTGCTAATTGCCAACGATTGGGATCGATGATATTTTCTTTGATAATAACAACATCACCAGGCTTGAAATTATCTTGTACAACTTTCCATTTGTATCTCTGTTGTGACCGACTGAGGTAGCCACTGGACTACGCTTTCCAGAAGTCTTTGTTCATTTTTCGAATTTACTTGCACCTCGAAGACAAATCTTGCTCATATTTGATAGAAGGATGATTGTAGGATAACAATGATCTACCGATAAGAAAATGGTCAGGAATCAAAACTGTTGTATCATTCATGTGGTTACTTAAAAGTGTTAATGGACGGTAATTTAAGGATGCTTCTATTAGAGAAAGAAGCGTGGAGAGTTCTTCAATTTCCTGGATCCGATCTTGAATGTTGCAATTGTAACAATTTACTCTGGTTGTAACAATTTACGGGCTCCAACAAAATTTGTTCCGTTATTACTGTACATGTATTCACAGTAACCACGTCGAGCAGTAAATCTATTTAGAGCAGCCAGAAATATCTCAGTGTACATATCACTGACTGCTTCCAAATGAATTGCCAATGTTGTCAGGCATACAAAGATGGCGATGTACCGTTGATACGATTTGTGCCCTATTCCTTTCGTGGTACGAATTTGAATCGGGCCGACATAATTTACACCAATATGAGTGAATGAAAAAACAAGGCAGACTCTTGGTGCAGGAAGTTCTCCCATTATTTGTTTTGCTGCCTGAGCAATGTATCGAACGCCACGTTTTCCATTTATAATCCTATATTTTCTTCTAATATAAGCGAATGTTGCTTAATTTCCTCCATGTAGAGTTGAAGCGGGTACATTTAAAATCAACGTTTGAGAAATGTTTTAGAAACAATTGTTGGGTGTTTTTCATCGTTGGCTAGAGGTAATTTTTGTAATCTTCGGTCAACACGAAGATAAAGAAGGTTTATCTTTATCTATGAACGCATTAAGTGTCGAAACCTTGCTTTTCTTGTCCACTTGGTTATTTTTCGAAGATCTTTTGTTTCCATTTCGAACACTCTGTGCTGAATTTCGATAATAATTGCGTTTAGGGTCGTATTCATCTCTTGAACGGTAAGCGGTCCATATTCTTTCGCTTTGTTCTAACAATTTGTTATGAATCGACAGTAAGAAAGTACTCGAATCATTTTTGTCAATGACGAGAATCGTTCGTACTCTTTCGGCATTTCAAATGCTTTCATGCAGGCAATAATTGTTGCCTGCTGATAATTGTTGGGATTTTAATCTCCTCATTGGTGTTCTCTACCTCTTCTTGTTGTGGCCAACATCCTTCTTTTAACAGTCATGATGGACCATTCCACGTCTAAACGTCTTCCACTTCGTTGGATCTCCTTTTATCCAAGATAATGTGATTGTGGAATCTGACCATGCGAAGAGTGGAGTTTCTTGATCTAATTTTAGTGTTCTGGTAGTTCTTCTAAATAATCTTGCAAGTCATACTGCCGCGCAAAGTTCTAATCTTGGTAACGTCGATTTTGTTCTTGCAGGTGTTATTTTTGATTTAGCTATAACTAGGGTCGACGTAATTTGTCCGCTTTCGTTAGGACATCTTGCATAGATTACTGCCCCATACGCTTTTTCTGAACCCATGGAGTTCAACTTTGGATCCTTTCTGCTTTTGATCCACCGTGGTAGGTTGATTTCTTCTAACACTTTTAATTCTTCTGGAAATTGTAACCATAAATGCTTGACCTGGTCTTGTACAGCTTGATCTCACTCTAATTCTTGGAGAAACAACTCTTCAGTGAGAATTGCTTTCATAACGACAGATACTAGCCAACCGAGAGGGTCAAATAATTTAGCTACGTCTGACAGAATGTGACGCTTCGTAAGGTTCTCATTGATGGTCACAATCACTTGAAATCGAAAAGTGTGTGTCAAAGGTGCCCAATATACGCCCAGTGATTTAGTTAGCCAATTTTCAGCTATTTCTCTATCAGCTTGTGCTCTGAGTGAGATTGGTATTGATTGAAGCAATTCTGGTTTGTTGCAGGTCCATTTTCATTTGGAATCTGGCATTTCCACTTTCGTATTGGCCCGGGATTAAGCTTACGAATAAAATATTGTTCATCAAAATCGATTTTCTTGTTATAATCAAAACATTATACCGGTAAAATCCTATCTAATTGAGCGCTAACTTCGTAGGTTTAAAAGTAGATAATTTTTATTTTTAGGATGATTTAAATCATGAGAATTTAACTAAAACATTAAACATCTCCGATTCTGATTTAAATTCTATAGACAATTTAGACAATTCAACAGTGACAAGTTTAAAACGACAAGTTAATATTTTCCCAGGAAATCCTTTTTTTAACGAACCAATTCCGGATTTAGATCTTCCCGTGAGTAATTAAAATACATAAAGTAATTAAACTAATCGTGTGAAATTACGTGATTACAAAACAAAGAATTCGTAAAAACATTAATATTATTTTTATATCCAGACAATAAAATCCAATTACGTCAATTAACAACAATAGAAACCGCTAATTTACCTTGTGTCCCTGCTTTAGTTCATTTCACTTTTACCTATACCATACATTTTGAAAGTTAACAAGAAAATTAAAAGAAAAAAACTAAACCCAGTATCAACATTAACATAATACGTGATTCATTAGTTTGAAAGTACCCCGTTTCTTATTGATAATTAGGTTCGTTTATCGAGATAGAGATAGAGGTATTGTTTTATGTGTACAGGATGTATTACCAACATTGGACTTGGAACCGAAAAGTAATCGAACGAAAATTAATATTCGAATAAATAAAAACGATTTAGCTGGAACAAATATAACGAAACTAATTGAGCAAATCGAGGAATTTATCGCCAATCAAACGAAATTTGCTAAACAAGAAGTTGACGAAGATAATAGTAATGATGGAGAAGAAATTTCTGATGAAGAACCGGAAACTAACGCCGAACAAGAAGATGATGAAGAAAGCGAAGAAGAGGAAAGCAACGAAAGTGAAGAAACAGATTTTGTTCAAGGATTAATTAAATCATTTTTGGGACAATTAAGTACAGTGTGTATAAAAATATAAAAAAAAAAATATTTGATTTTAAATATTTTTATAATTGATTACTTTTTTGTGTTTTAGCCTGAAGGTGGAGTAGATGTTGACGCAATTGTCGGCCTAATAGGTGGATTAAGTGTGGTAAGAATTGCTTAATTAATCAATACAAAAAAGAAAACTATACAAAACCATTAACCTTGTGTTAAAGTTTTTTGTCCCCAACAATTATCGATTGTTTTTCTTCTACTTTCTAGCCTAAAGATGACGGAACTTACGACTTCTCCGGACTTACAGAAACATTACAAAGCTTTTTAGACGTAAGTATAATTATTTCAAACCATATAGAGATTAAAAAGAAATTAATTTAATTGAATTGCCAATTCAATAAAGGTAAAAGTTTTTTCAAGTGAATAAACTATTATGTAAACCTCGTTGGAAATTTTAACCAGGAAGGTCGAATAGGAAGTGCAAAAGAGAAAATTTCAAAAACCTTTCGGACACCTGAACGAACAATATGCACACGCAGATATATGATCTGTTAGGAGAAAACCTTAACTTACATCATAACCACAACTTCGTATTATAACGGGTTATTAACATAAATTATCGCATCTTTAACCTGTTGCAAATTAACCCATTGATGACTAAGTCGATGTTTGTTGCAACCTAAAATGAATTTGTGACGTTGATCGATGTAGAAAGTTCATCTTTTTTATTATTAATCTGTCCTTTAAATTATTTTTTAAAACATTCTTAAAAACTTTCTTAAAAGAAATGAAAGTTGTAACAAAACAAAAATACATTTTTTAAATCCACTTCGTAATCTATTTGACTCATTTAACTAATTTTCGCACATTATTTTTTGTTAATTGCACCTTGAAAACCTTGAAAGTGCGTGCAGTTCATGTGAATAAGGATTTCTAATGTTTCCTTTGAAATTGTTAAGTTTTTAACCTTAAACGCAATTTTAAAATGAAAGAAAACCGGGTTATTATAATTTTATAATAACCCAGCTTTAAGTTGCGTTTTTTAAAAGCGATTCATTGACCGGTTATGATTCATAAAGTAATTTACCAGAAAATTGATAGATTCGGTTTAGGATATGACCCAATTAGATAGAACTGATGATTATTGTATTTTTATGTTTAATTTGTTAAGCTTAACGAACTTGTGCCATTAAAAAGTTAAGAAAGTTTTTGCAAATTTGTGCATATTTACAAAAATAAAAAGGAAATGGTGTGTTAAACGAAAGTTCATACTAATGTACAAGACTTTGAGAAAATAGAAACTGAAAAACAGACGGCTTACAAGAAATTTTCTTGTAAAAACCTTACAAGAAATAACACTACAAATGTTGTATATTTTTTATGACGCCATACGAAATTCCCAACGGATTGGAACCTCTTTTGTGAAAGTTGTTTGATGGCAAAATAAAGAGATTCACTAAACGTGTAATCCGCCCCACTTCTTTGTATAAGCCTTGTGGCAAGTACCATTCGTGATAAATTAATCATTGTCCTTGCCTTTTTAAAATATATATTTGGAAATAAAATTCAAGTAAAAATAATAGCGTGAATGATGCATATGGAATGTTTCTTAATGTCATTATGGGGGCTTTTCATGCGTCTTTTTCACTATGTGATAACGGCCTCAATTGGTTTAACAATGATTTGAAACACATAAGGGAAATGTATAACTTTTCTTGCAAGCTTTATAGAAAATTTAAAACTGTTGACTTACTTCATGCTAGAAATAAACTTAGAATTCAATATAGAAAGGCGATTTCTGATGCAAAAAATAAGGCTTTGATTGAAGTTATTAAGCAGTGCAAAAATAAACCAAAAGTAATGTGGAATCTTATTAATAATACTAGGGGTAGTTGTACGGATGATGACACTTCTCATTTAAACCCTAATGAATTAAATAATTTTTTTATTGGCATTGCTGACGAGGGGGTTCGAGGTTTTTCAGGTTCGACTGTTTGTGCTATGGACGTTTGTCATACGCTGCCTCCAGAAGGAGTGTGCTTTTCGTGTTCTGAAGTTAGGCCGATTGAAGTTCCTGATCTGCTTTGCAGTTTAAAATCTATTAACTCTAAAGACATTTATGGTCTATATGTGGCGCCCTTTACCAGATTGGTGAACCTTTCCTTTTCATCTGGCGTATTTCCTGACTTATTAAAAGTAGCTAATGCAATTCCAATATTTAAAGGCGGTGATAAAAACAACAATGCTAATTTTCGTACTATTAGTATTCTGGCCAGCTTTTCCAAAATATTTGAACTTTTCAACAGAATCATCGCATACTTGGACCAAAATAATTCATTGCACCCTCATCAGTTCGGCTTTCGAAGGGGTAGGTGCACCTCTGACGCGGTAGTTAATATATGAATATCTGTGACAGCTTTGAAAAGCGTGAATACTGTATGTCATTGTTTTTGGACTTGTCTTGTGCATTCAATACTGTGTATCATCCAATTCTTATTGATAAACGTCGCAATGTTTACAATTTTGATGACAAAAGTATTGTCATCAAACACTCAAGGGTTCCGCGAATTTTTACTGGACGCCAGAAAACTATCGAAACTTTAAAAAAAAAGTCTCCGGCCATCTGGGCAACGCATCTTTTTAGTCTAAGCAAAGGATTCCCAGAAACTTTCACCGGGGATGTTACTGGACTCGGAGATAAAAGAACCAGGATCGGCCCGGAGAAGACAGTTCGCGTTACAGTTCTGATCGGCAACCTTTTCCGAAACGCCTTTTTTCTTCTAACATTGTTACCAATGTTTTGCAGTATGGAGAGGTGGCTTAAAAACGGCAGCGTAAAACGTTCAAGTGTAGATGCAACAGATTCAGCTTGACAATGACACCGATGCAAATCAAATCGCCCCAAAGGAAAATAAGCCAGTTATAAATGCTTCTTCAAGTGTTGAATCCAAAATAGTTACTAAAACACGCAGGAAGTTCTCATATAGCTCCAAATAGTTCCAAGTAGCTCTATGGCTCCAGCTAAGATGCGTCGACATTTAGAATCTCTCCATGAGGACCTTAAAGAAAAATTTTTCAAGCGAAAGTGTGATGAACTTGTAAAATTAAAAATATTTATGGTTCAAACCACAAAAACAATTAATGAAAAAGCTTCAGTCGCTTTTTCATTCTGCTTCTTACTTGGTCAGTTATCAAATAGCTCAACGCGGTGAAGCCTCAATTGCGGAAAATCTCATAAAACCTTGCGCTATGGAGATGTTAAATGTATATTAGATGAAAAATCAGCAGAAGAAATAAGTAAGATCCCACTATCGAATGATACAGTAGCTTGGGGTATCAGAAATGTAGCAACCAATATAAAGAATGAACTTACGTTTCGCCTACAATCATGCAAATTTGCATTACAAATGGACGAATCTACCGATGTAGCTGGACTCGCAATATTAATTGTCATCGTTAGGTACCAGCATGAAAACGCAATATCAGAGGATCTTCTGTTATGTAAATCTCTACCAACACGTACTACTGGACTGGAAATATTTAGTCTCCTAAATTCTTTTCTTGAAGACAATGAAATACCATGGGACAACTGCATCGATATCTGTACAGATGGAGCAAAAACCATGAGTGGCACAATTAATGGGGCTGTACAGCTTATTAAAAATATCGTCAAAAACTGTTCAAGCAGTCACCGTATGTTACATAGGCAGGCACTTGCTGCAAATAAATTATCTCCCAGTTATAAAAAGGCTCTGATGAGGTGGTCAAAATTATTAACTTCATAAAATCTCGGCCTCTAAATAATCGTTTATTCAAAATACTATGTGAGGAAATGGGAAGTGTACATACATCTCTTCTGTTACATACTGAAGTCAGATGGTTGTCACGAGGAAATATACTAACCCGTTTGTTTGAACTAATGGACGATGTACGTGCTTTTTTTTAGAACATAATTTCAAATTGAAAGATCGATTATTATTTGAAAAAATTCTTGCTTTCAAGAAAAAGATAAAATTTTGGATAATTTGTTTGCGCTCCAATGAATATGATTGCTTCCTAACTATAAAAACCTTTTTGGAAGAAGAAAAGATTGAAATAGGACAGACATTTATTGAAGAAGTTCTTCAACTATTTTCTGAATGACAGGCAGATTAAATATCAATAAGAACTGTGGATTAAAAACCCATTTATTATCAATACACAACCTTCAACCATGTCGTCAGAAGAATATGAAACTTTGATTGAAATGACATCTGATTCATCGTTGCAAGAAAAATTTAAATCAATGCCGTTAGTACAATTTTGGTGCAGTTTGAAAGATGAATATCTTCAATTGTCGCAAAAGGGCGTGTTGGCACTTTTACCATTTGCTAGTACATATACATATGTGTGAAATGGGATTCTCAGCTTATGTGTCGACAAAAAATAAATATCGCAACAAACTTGACGCCGAACCTGACATGAGAAGTCAACTTTCATCCATAAAGCCTAATATTAAGTATATCTGCGGTAATAATAAGCAGCACCACTCCTCCTATTAAACGTTATTTTAATAATTTTGGTATTCATTTTGAAAGTACTTTTTGAAGCAAATAAATATTATCTAAAATAACTCTAATTTTTGTTGAAAATTATTTATTTGTACATTCATTGCATTAAAACCTTTCATTAAAAAAATTGAATGATGCCAGAGATTTCACGATAAATGTGGTCATCAAAAAGAGTTCCACTCATGAAAAAGTTTAAGAAACGTTGCAATCTAATCCAATCTTATTTGGCCGGCAGAACGCAACAGGTGTCTTGCGGCCAAATGACGTAGGAAGGAGTCACTTTGACTCGAGGTGTTCCACAGGGTTCTATCCTCGGTCCGCTTTTATATTTGATGTTTTCCAATGATTTTCCATACCATTTTAGGGACATTGATTGTTTTTTGTATGCTGACGATAAAACTTGGATTATCCGAAGCAATGAAGCTGAAGAAGTCATTCAAAGATCTGAATTGATTCTAGATAGAGCACGTAAATGTTGCATCGCGAATGAGTTGTGTTTGAATAATAAGAAAACAGTTTGAATAATTTTGGTAATCCGTCGTTTGGTAAATTCTTGGGAACCACCTCAGTATTGAAATTTGATCATTATTTTGACGCTATTAGCAAGAAAATTTCAAAAAATTTCTTTTTGCTACGAAACCTTATTGTCAAGGTGGAACTAGAAGTAGTAAAAACCGCTTACTTCGCGCTTATACAAACCCATATACAGCGTAGGGCTCTAAGAGTTGTGCGAGGCCTGAGATACAGTGAGGACTGTCGACACATATTCGTGCGTTTAGG